TGAATGGAAGTAGAATGCGTGCCGCATCCCACAAAGGGATTGATCAACGGCGAAGACTTTATCCTTTTATCCTTTTTATATGTATAATGCCTAGTTTCTCCCTTGTTCGCCCAGTTTTTCTTGGGCATATATTCGTGTATGAGGCGGAGGTGGTGTAGTGACAAGTGGCGCGCTTACCACTCGCGCGGCGCCGGGAGTGGTAAGCGCGCCACTAGAGCCAACCGGTGTCTTATTTAGAGCGTTTTCAACTCCAAATTTCCAGTTATAACCGGTAATAGCGAATTGCAGTTCAAAGTGTTGTTAATATTTGTTGGTTCTAGTACGGTCCCGTATCATCCACCACACAACGCGAGTCAACATCCTCAGCAACCTCCTACAAACGCTGGACAGTTTCATCCACAGCAACGATACGAACCTACTGGTCCTGGTAGTTACAGGTACAGCTGGTTTCTGTTCAAGATAAACTTAGCCTTCCCCTGTTTACCTACGATATAAGCCGCCTACACAATGTTACTTTTTTATTAGTTTAAATTTTGCATCGTCAAATTTCCATGCGGCAGTGTAAAAATTGCGCCTTATAGCTTGGTAAATATGGGGTTCAGCAGGAATTCTTAACTGAATTCGCTAAGCTTTCTATCTTTTCTTTAGGATCATGAGACGTGAATCTACCGATGCTACGGATGCGAGTCCGCCTTTGGATCCAGTGCATGCGAAGGCACCTCTGCAGAGTCAGAGTGCTAAAGAGACCGAAAGAGTGCAGGAGGTATCAAATGAGGTTTGTCATCTTCCTTACGTTCCATAAATTGCCATTATGGAAATCCTGTAGAGCAAGGATTTCACTTTTGTGCTGGTTTGTAACTTTTTTAGTAGTTTTTTTATAAGTAACTAGTTATTTTCATTGCACCAACTTTAATTTTGTAGTAATGAGCATGTCAATGGGAAGTATAAGAGGAATTGACCTCTGGGACAGTGATGAACCCACCGCTGTTGTAGTGTTATTTCACTGTTTTGTTATGGTCGTGATTGTACCCTCCTGGTACTGTAAAGGACACCCAACTGCTGCGTAGCGGCCAATCTATCAGGTAGCTAATCTGTGGGGGAGCAGAATGCGCATAAAAGAAATCTGAATGTTGTCGGAGTGAACTGCTAGTCCATGCGTGTAAACTTCAGCAGGTCCGCGTAAAGTGCGACAGCTAGGCTTGGGGTGTGGGGGGGGGGGTGGGGCAAAAAATGGCTTTCAACGATGCTCGTACAGACCACCTTGTGAGACCTGTAAATCATTGTAACCAAAGTAGGACACTCATACCATTTGCAGTTTTCCAAGACTCAAAGGAAACTGATCATGAAACCGAGTGAGGCCTGTTTTAACATTAACTAACAGAAGGAACTTGCGAACTTAGGAATTACCCTTCCCCCTAAGCCGAAAAATACCAAAAGTGCTATTTATCTATTCCGTTCAGGATCTTCGGTTTGGAAATACTGTGTCCCCTTATCTATTTTTTCTGGATAAATTTCATTTAAGTAGTCGCTCATGGTGTGAAACTCGTGCAGCCGAAATTTTTTTCGTTTGTGCCAGAGGCTTTCGCGGCAGGACTGCTTATGAACTAGCAATCACGTAACCGACGGGTTCTTGCCTTCAGCATTAGGGGATTCGTAATCTGACTAGTGAAGCTGAAGGGGTTCGCGATGGCGGAGCAAAAAATACCTTCACAAGTTTGACCTTGGTTTGGCTATCAGTTTGAATCTTTATCATTATGTGTGATCGTTACTATACATTCTGTGTGCGTAAAACGAACTCTTTTCAAGAATACTCCCGCTGTTGCATCAGTAGAGGCTCCAGTTCCACCAGGAAGACGCGATTCGGGCTCAGATCGTCGTCGCGGTAATGATGCGAATATGAGTGGCTCGGAAACGATGCCAAGGCCGGCAGCCAAGGTTTGTTTTTTTTTTACTTCTAAATCTTCATTTCTTGGAAGAAACATTTAACTTCATATTCATTCATTTACACTTTTTTAAATATTATCATGACCTTAGGTCCGAAATAAACGCTAGAGAGTCCACTCTCACTTCACAATTCTTTCCTTGAACTTCTGACAATTTGTTTCTCGATAAAACTTCGAGTAGTGGGTAAGGGCCGGGGCACTTCTTCCGTACTTATAATCATATAGTTAGGAAAGATATTCACTGCTTTTTTCGCTGTGGATGAAGAGGCGTGTCTAGTCCGATGGGTTTGGCGCGGCGCCAAATCCATTTTCCTCCAGCTGTTTAAGCATGCAGTCGACAAGACTGCATTGTTCGTATCAGTCGTTTTCCGCCAATTTTGGTCGTTTACCCGCTTCAATGATTGTTAGAGAATGGGTTTGGCGCCGCGCTAAACGCATCCTGCCCGACACGCCCCTTCGTCCGCAGTGAACGAGCCATTTATGTTCAGCTTCTGGCGTCACATCCTTAAAGGCAGTTGGCACGATGGTTTCCTACTTAGCCTAAAATGCTAGTAGGGCGCTGTATAGTGGGGAAATGGCGAAAGAACGGAGTGAAACGGTCAAAATCCTGCGAAGAAAGCCTCCGTTCTCAGTGACTTGTAAATCGATTTCGGACGAGTTTCCCGTAGGCATCTTACCAATCACCGCTACCGAAGATACGGCTGCATATGTGTACCCATATATGCATGCAGCATCACGGCCGCTTCATACCAATCCCTTCGCTTCATAATTTGCTTAGCAAATGAATGAATACGAGCGCGGCAAATCGAATCATTAGAGCGTCAGGAACGGTCGTCCATTTGTGGGCGGGCGGGCGTGGCGGGCGTTTGGGACGTAAAGTTGTGGCTTGATAGGGCCCTTATAAGGGCACCTTCCTCGGGGAAACCGCTATGCAGCGCCTGCCCAGGGTCGCGGAATTCTATCCTGCCTATTGATCCTAGTCGTCTTGGGGATTTATCGTGCCAACTGCCTTTAATACATCCAACGTCACGCTTTCGTAGCGCTTTCATATAGGGGTCAGCTTTGTCTTATCTGAACGCACTTCAGGGTTTGCTTTGGTTTTTTTTCAGTTTGCGGCATGTTTTGTGTAGGTGAATGCGGATTCGAAGAACTTACAAAACTTAGAGTTATAGCACATTGAGGTTTTTTTTTCTGAGAGCGCTTGGGGAGCAAATATTAATGCGATTTGAAAGACGCTTTGAAACACTCCGAAACTGATATAGGCCGTATAGTTTTCAATTGAATATTTAATCGTTCCTGTTCCTGACATATTTTGTAAACGAAAAGCTCTCGAGAGTCGTGAAATAATGTCTCTTTTCATGTAGTCTGTACTATTACAATAATCCTAATTCACTACTTTTCAGCAACGCGTGGTGTACAACAGCAATAACAGTAAATTCGTTCCGCTTCAGAAAAGTGCAACTATTGGAGAAATTCGAGACGCAGCTGGTCCTCAGAGGTATTTTCTTTACAGTTAAACGTTTTATCAGTGAAATAACGTAGAAGTTAATGGCTAGTAAGCAGAAAATAATTTTTGATGCTGATTGTTATTTTATGGAGTGCTGGTCGTGCAGCCTGATTCACTGGGTTGAAGGGGCGTTTCAGGCGGGTTGGGTTTATTGCGGCGCCAAACCCACTTCTGCCAGTTGTTGAAGCGAGCAAGCGACAAGAATTTATCGATTGTTCGTATCTGTCGTTTCCATAAATTGTTGTCACTTGTCCAATTCAAGAACTGGTGGAGAACGGGTTTGGCTCCTCCCCAAATCCAGCCCGCCTGACTTGCCCCTTCATCCGCAGCGAACAAGACTATTTTTATCGTTTTCGTATCTGGTTTGTTA